GAGGGAGATTAACTCAATAAGGGGAATTACAGAGGAATGAAGAAAGAATTGTCTAAAATGGGAAGGGAGAAAGGATCAAGGGGAAAGTCAGCAGAAGAGCAGCGGCAGACATTTAAGCAGATAATTCATGCTGATCAGCAAAAATTTATTCCAGTCAAAAAAGAGGGTTCAATGTGTGCAAAGGACCACCCATGATAGGCAAAGGCCAGAGGATTGGAAGGTTTTTTTTAGGGATGAGTAGAGGATAACTAAAACATTGAAAAAGAAGGAAAACTTGATTTGGAAAATAAATTGACAAGCGATATGAAAAACAAACAACAATAATCTCTATGGATACAGAAAAAGAAAATTAAGTATGAGACTCTTGAAGGATGTAACTAGGGAATTAATAATGGGAATAAGGAAATGGCAGATAATTTAAATGAATATTTTTCATTGGTCTTCATGGTAGAAGACATGATAAACATCCCAAAAATAGCAGATAAGCAAAGTGCTCATGGGAGAAAAGATCTTGTAACAGTCTATTACTAGGGACAAAATATTTGACAAAACTATGGGAGAAATGGTGGAAGCATTGGTCAAAATATTTCAGAACTCACTGAATTCTGGGAGCGTTCCAGTTGTTTGGAAAACCACTAATATTGACTCCCCTGTGTCGGAATGGATGAAGATGGAAAGCAGGAAACTATCAACCAGTTAGCCTTTATGTTGTTTGGAAAATGCTAGGGTCCATTATTAAGGAAGAAATGCCATGACATTTAGCAAAGCTTAATGCAATCAACAGAGATATCATGGTTTTGTGAAAGGGCATCATGTTTGACAAGTTTGCTGGGATTCTTTGAGGATTTAACAATTACAGTTGATAATGGGGAACTGGCAGATGTGTATATTTAGATTTCCCAAAGGTATCTGACAAGGTGCCACCTAAAAGTTTATTGCAGAAGGTGGGAGCCCAGAATTTTGAGAATAATGTACTAATATGGATTGAGGTTGGCTTAACACACAGAAGATAGAGAGTCAGGATTAATGGGTTTGAGTACCACAACAGTCAGTCCTACGTAGCATTTCTAATATAGATAACAAATAATTGTCACTTGGAAGAGGGGGCAGAGTGTAATTTGTCCAGATTTACTGATGATGCAAAAATATCTGGGTGAACATAAGGAACCTGCGAAGGGATATCATTAGGGTGAAGTGAATAGACAACAACCTGACAAATATAGAGTTTTATGTGGGAAACTATGAGGTCATGCACTTTGTTAAGAGGAATCAAAACGCAGACTATTATTCAAATGGAGAGAGACAACACAAAGTAGTGCAGTGAAAAGGGATCTGGGTGCTCTGTGCAATAAACATAAAACCATTAACATTCAGGTGCAGCAAGTAATGAAGAAGCCAAATGCAATTTTGACCTTTATTGCGAGGGGTTTGAAGTTTATAAGTAGGGAAGGTTTGTTACAACAATTCAGTGTGTTGGTGAGGCTGCATCTATGGTACTTTGTACAGTTTAAGAAAAAATGCACTGGCATTGAAGGCAGTTCAAAAGGAATTCACTAGGCTGATTCTTTAAATGTAAGGGGTGAATTATCAAGAACAGCTAAACAGGCTTCTGCAGTAGTGTCTAGAAGAAGGGATGATCTTATTGCAAGATGTAAGGTTCTAAGGGGGCTTGACAAGGTAGATGTTGAGAAGCAGCTTCCACTAGTAAGGATAATCAAACTAAGGCACCTAGTTACAAAATAAGAGGACAATCATTTAAAAATGAGAGGCAAAGGAAGTTCTTCTCTCAGAGGGCAGTGAATGTCTGGAATTATCTGCACCAGACAGCGATGGAGGCAAGGTCATAGAATGTAATTAAGAAGGAGTTAGTTGAATATTTGAAATATCAGGGAACTGAGGGCAACGATGAACTGGCAGGAAAGAGGAGTTGAGTTCTATGGCAAATCAGCCATGATCTTCTTGAATTGTGATGCAGGCTTGAGGGGCTGAATGGCTTACTCCTGCTCCTACTTCTCATGTTTTTATCAATAATTCATGGGTTGTAAAAGAGAACCCATCACCAACTGCAAAAGATAATCTTGGTGTTTTTACACAGGAACACTTCTTTTGAATTCCACAGCCAACCAGTGTATCAACACTTCTATATACAATTTCGCCCTTGTCTCCATAGAGATATCATCATATACAGCACATTCACTGTACTAAAAACTCACAAAGTCTCATTTATTCATCTATTCAAAGGAACCTCCATTAAAGTTGTTTGAATATAGTTAATAGAGTATGGAGGCCTACTGCTTCCTACTAACTCTGCTTCCCCTTGAGATCAGTATGTGAAAAGGATACTCTCAATCCTAATCTGCTTTTTTTTATAACTGGAGATAGCAAGAATGTATGTGATAGATGGATGATGTTTTTATATGACCCTCTTGTGAGAAGGGGTCACTGTTGTTGTATTATTGCACAGATCTCAGGAAGTACTATACTTTTAAGATAGCTGGCTGACATCATGACATGTGGTGTTCTAGTATAAGAGGTACATTCAGTTAGTTTGTCATTAGTCAGTTAGTCAGCCAATCAATTGTATGTAATATAAGTAATCTAAGTAAGCATATAACCTAGACTGAATGTGTAAGTCTGAGATGTAATATTAGTCTACATGATTTATTGTTAATAATTGTCTGTTCCAACATGAATCCAATACTTTGTGGTATATGTTACATGGACTATCAAATTAATAATCACAAAGACATTACAGTGGCTGCAAAGTAACAGCAAACACATATTCGCAGGTGACAGCAAGTGGATATTCAAGGCTGAAGTAAAATTTCAACAGTCAAAGTTGTGAAAAGTTCTTCTTGTAACAATCACCCGTTGGATATCTGTGTTTAAAGTTGAACCTCTTACTGGCAACCAAGGTTAAAGTCCACAACTGTACTGAAGCTGTAAAATTTTGTTTCCTTCTCTCTTGCTCTTTAAGAAAAGCCTGCAGCTGACCCAAATTTAAAATAGGAGTTTCAAAATGTGCTGAAGGACAGCTCCAACCCACTAAAGTGCTCCTAGAACAAAACTGAGGGGAAACAACACTACATAACATGTTTTCATTTTTTTTTAATAAAAGCCTATAACTGTGTCAAAACATATTTGATTTTGGCATCTTACTCCTGAAAAAGGTGATAAAAAACAAGTTGCACATGATGTCACAACTCACTCTTTTGGCATGATCACACCTACAGGCATAAAGCTGCTGCTTTTAAAACAACTACAGCAAGAAATAAAATGAAGAGAAGCCAACTGGTCTTAAAGTAAATTTTACAAATTGTAATTTTTCAACAGCGCAAGGCAGCATGGTTTAGGATGAAAAGCAAATAACGAAACATGGGTTGACTCTCCATTCATATTTTGTCAGAATGATTCAGGGAAAGACTGAATCTTAACTATGTAAATTAACAGACCACAAGGTGAGACAGTCTGTCAAAATTCTGATCACTTTGGGAGGAAAGATTGAGAAGAAGTAAACTTTCCAGCATTTTGAATGTTGACTGCAAGATCCAACCAAGATTGTGCGAGTCCTAGAAGAGTCCTTTAGAATTCAAAGGTTCGAATTAATGTTAGAATACCAAAGGCTAGATGAAAATATTGACCAATTTGTGCACAGATGTCATTGCAAAGATGCAGAATGTGATTTTACTGAAGGCAGGTGAAAGACAGTTAGAACTGATCGCCTATACCTATCAAATCTTCCGAAATGGCACTTCTAAAAAAATCTAAAGACTCCCTCTAGACCAGGAGGCCTGGGTTTGAGACCCACCTTGAAACAGGTTTATTGGAAAATATGTATAACCTAGACTGTATATGTAAATCTGAGATATAATATTAGTGTCATAGTTAGTTGTTAGTAAATGTCTAGATATCAGTCTTACCACAAACCCAGCTGTCAATGGTATATGTTATGTGGGCTAACACATTGAAAATCATGAGAATATCAGTCACTTCACGGCAGATATGCCTAATGCTGCTTGTTACACTTCTTGTGACGTTGTATGGACAATCCGGCCCATTTACTTCTTGTCACATATACAGGCATCAGATACAGTAGATTGGAAAGCACAAGTCTACCAATGGTGTATTTAACTGTTGCAAGTCTTTAGGTTCTGCGAAAGCCTGCTATTTCTTTACATCTTTCACCAACGCATGACCCCAACCAATCAATTGAGCTTTCAATCTTGTGTACTTGCATCTCCAGGAAATAAGAATTCAAGTACGTTTGACTGCAGAAATTGCATCAGTACTCAAGACATCTGGCACTATCGCTCCCTCCCTGCTGTGTGCAAGTGGAAAATTTGGTTTTTACTGTTTAGAATTAGAAATAAGGAGTAAATGTTTTTATGAGATGTGGTTGTCTATCATGATTGAAAATCCACCCTCCAAAGTGGCACAGCAACTACTTTAAGCATTTAGGCATCTTCAGGCTATAAAAAATATTACGTTTAAAATGATCGAAATATTTCAAACTGTCACACTTGCATTAATTAGCTTAAATATCTTATTCATTAATCTTGGAATAGATTTAACAGAACAGCTAGAGGTCCTGACTATTAACTGGTAGTGTTTTCAAAATTACTTTGTAAAAGGGGACAAAAAAAACAATTATCCTCTCAAGATGTGTCAGGTTACACTAATAATAATTAAGTGGCTTTATAGGGGTAGGCTAGCAATTAAACATACCATCATTTCAGTAGCAGAATAATTCTGGTGTGCCACTTTTTGCTTCAATCCTTATAACATCCAGTATAATCTTCAGTGTGTTGTAACAGCAACAAAATTGACTGCAATTTTATATTTTCAAAGGATAGTTATATTAATTACAGTTTCACTGTTTTCACGTTGATATAATGAGCTGTGAAATGCATGGATCTTTAGGGAAGTAAAAGAGTATAATTATGCTATAATTAAAGTTAATTGCATTATTTTAATAAAATATGTTTGTATTCCCCATTTAGCTAGGTCTTTGGAGTCCAACCACTGGATTGAATGGTTCTCTTGTTGATCAAAAACTGGAAAATAGTATGGAAGGAGTGACACTGCGAGTTGTGACAGTACTGGTAAAATAGAATTTTTTGCCTTCATACATAGTTGAATGTTTGGCAGCCTGCAATTATATTTAAGTACATGCAACATCAGAAATGAGATTCTTATTATAACAATACGTACCTCATCAGTATTATACTTCAACAATGATTGTCAGGATCACATATTTGAAAATAAATGCATGATTTGACTTCCTCACATTGAATATCTTTTTTTAAATGTAATCAAGAGGAATATGGTAAGAACTTAACATTTTCTTTAAGTTCAGTGAATCTCTAGAGTGATTTAATACCCTTAATCATATTTAGATGACTCTGTTCTACTGCCCCAACACCCTTTCTGATGTATTTAACAAACACTAAAATAAACAATAAAAAATAAACAATGTTTTCCTCCTGAATCAGATCACAGTCAAAAATTAAATAATACATACTGTCAGAGATAGTGGGAACGCTGATGCTGGAGAATCTGAGATAACAAGGTGTAGAGCTGGATGAACACAGCAAGCCAAGCAGCATCAGAGGAGCAGGAAGGCTGACGTTTCAGGCCTAGACCCTTCTTCAGAAATGGGGGAGGGGAAGGGGGTTCTGAAATAAATAGAGAGAGAGAGGGAGGCAGATGGAAGATGGATAAAAGAGTAGATAGGTGGAGAGAAGACAGACTGGTCAAAGAGGTGGGGATGGAGCCAGTAAAGGTGAGTGTAGGTGGGGAGTTAGGGAAGGGATACGTCAGTCCAGGGAGGATGGACAGGTCAAGGGGGCAGGATGAGGCTAGTAGGTAGGAGATG